TTTCCGAAGTAATATTACAAAATAACGCGAAAACATGAAGAAAAGAAACATAATTTTTGTTTTTCGGTATATTTAGTTCACCTTTGCAATATGGGAAAAAATGGGGCAGGTTTTTTCGAAAGAAGAAATATCAAAGAAGACAACAAAAAAAAAGTTTAGCTAATTACCTCGTGGAACTTTTTGGAGATAAGTTTCGAAAGTGATTCAAGCATTGTAAAATGTCAAATGATAAGATATAAACAATAAGTTTGTCAAGAGTATTAACTAATCCAACAAATCGAAAAATTGTACTATAATTTCAGACTAATGACATTGATAAAAATGTAACAGAAAGGTGAAATTCCTATATACATTTCTGAAATATAAATTTAAAAGTTACATTAAAAAAGCATTTTTTTAGCATATTTTACACTTGTACTCTCGTCGGTCCAAAAAGTAAATTATAATGTTTGGAATGATTATGAATGCTTAATTTGGGCGATATTAAAGCTGCCTAAACATATTTTTGTCGAAATTTAATTTTTGACTTTTGGCCAAAGATCATGGTCTTCTGGCCTACTGTGCAATGGAGTGTATTTTTTTATTCGCATCTTCATTGGGTTTCAGTCAATTGTATGAAAATGGGAATTTTTTGTGAATTCTGAATTCTCTATAGTACTTTAAAGTAATGCACCCTAGTGGTCCAAAGAATTTTTTTTTCGAAGGAGTACAAAATCTTTGACGATGTTTGGAGTGTCATTTGCCAAATACTAGCGCTCGCGCTTGAAAATAACTGGTAATTTCTACAACCAAATAATTTTAATCCGCTATCAAGAGTATATATTTTGACTTTTTAGTATGGCATAAAAATGTAACATTTTGATAATTTATAATAACAAAAGAGGTAGAGTAACAGATATCAAAATACCTAAAAAATGAAGTTTACTTTTTTGAAATTACTATTGTTGGTGTTTTAATCATTGTCAAATCGCAAATGGCAAATTTCAAAAACGTATTTTTATGTACCCGATTGCAATGTGTTAATAATGTACCTACTCATTTTAATGAAAAATGATGCATTAAATATGTTTGCCATAAAATTGGTTTGCATTATGAAAATTGATATTTTAGCCAAATTAGCTAATATCAGCAGCTAATTTTGTTGGTTTATGGATGTTGATGGTTAAGATATGTATATTATTTTCATTCGACCAGGGCAATGTGGAGCTTTTTGTAGTCTTTCCAAAATATAAGGTTTAATTCTACATTTTAGAAACATACAAATAACTAAGTTATTTAAATTTTTTATTTATTTATTTATATACAGAAAGTCATTAATATAAAATTCAGATTAAATATTCACATAAATATTGATAGTTAAGATTAATTTTATTCAGATGACAGCTCTCAAAGTTCAATACATCAATTGACCAATATCTTTTTAGGTTAAATTAATATGAATTTTTTTGCACTTATTATATATTTAATGGTGAAATAAAGTTCACTATCATTTACCTTATTCATTTTAATACAAAAAAAATTGCTAAAAGTAATTCGTAAAAATACTTCAATTTTTAAGATCAATTTTAATAACACTGTGGGTCGTTAAAAATATACAAAGTGGTTGTAAAATACTATTTTAAATCGAAACATATTTTTAGAAATTCAAATATTTTGCCAACAGTTATGTTTTACACGTAATTCAATATTCTATTTTATGTCAAACTTCTATATCACGAACTTGAACAAATTTCGAGATTTCGAAATGTTTTAATCATAACAGTCCAAGTACCACAAAGGTTGTTAGATAGAGCGTATGCTTCAATATTAAACTTTCTTTTAAGGTTCTCTAGCAACAATTAAGAAAGAAAAACTCTTTGTTCATGCTGTGGATCGGTAAAGACATTACAATTTAAAATTAAATTTCCAAGTCATATTCTTGCCCGCTTTCTTGCTATATTCTTGTGATTTATCTCGTTTATAAATTCTACTCTAAACAAGGAAAAAAAAAATTTAAATTGATAATTTATCAATGGCATTTATGAATTAATTATTAAGCAGTCTCTTACGTAGTCAATTATTACGTAATAATTAAAATTTTTCCATAATTGTCTTTTGCTGGTTTAAAAGGATGAGTGTTATTCGCCTAAGCTATTTCGCCAAAACTTCAAAGTATTTATAGATAATAGAGATTTTATAGATATAATTGAATTATTCAATGGGATACCTGCTAGTGACGTAGTGTGGGCATCTCGATCCTGATTGGTTGTTGAAACATGTCATTTCCTAACGTTAACAACTGTTTTTTTTCTCCATTCTATTTTGAGTAAGTGTCAATTCTCTTAAGTGATGAATTCATTATTCTTACACCAAGATTCCTTCACAAGGATTTCAATGCTTTCAATATATATTTCGTACTTAACACAAAACCAGGCATGAAGTCACGTGGAACATAAACTTATTATGCATCAAAATTTCCCGGTACACAAAACAAAAATATATAACACAGTTACAATAAAATACATAAGCAAGTAATAAATCCAAGATAAATAAAAGACATGCTGACCGGCCCGTGTAGGGGGCAGGGAACTGTCCTTGCGTCAGAAAGGTCCTGGGTTCGAATCCCGAGCAAGGCATGGATGTTTCTTTCTCTTTCTGTGTGTTCTATGTCCTTTCTCCTTTGTGTGTGAATGTGACCCGCCCTGTAAACGGGTTGTGGTTGTGGGAATGGCGTGGCAGAAGTCGAATTCCTGGCCATAGATGGCACCACTGAAAAACAGGAACAATCGCACCCCCACTGTCTAAACAGGCATACGGCAAAAAAAAGTAAAAGACATAGACGAGAAAGAATTATATTGCAAGAAATTCGATGTGCGATACTGCGCTGTGTTTAATTAACTTCACATTAATTAACATCTTAAGTTACGTGGAAAAACAGGTTAACTTTAACATGCTATTTTGCTTATAAAAGCTGAGGTAATAGGTCACATGTCTGGGTATCAATGATCTTCTTCTTGAAGTGCAAGTACGCAATTGTGATAGTTGACAGATTAAATTTATTTTTAAAACTTTAAAAATTGAGATTAATAAATTCAAATACAAAAATTGCTACCACTCAGTAAACTTTTAGTGTAATATATAGATAATAAATTTGGATGAGTAACCTAAAAAGTTTTTTTTTTAGAATCACTCTCTTTAATTATAAATGAGTTTTCAAATCCAAATTTTTTAATCGATGTAATGGTATAAAACTTAATTTTTCTTGATATCTTTGCTATTATATATAAAATAATTTTAAATACGAAAGTTGACAATGTTAAGCATACTATTTTTATGTTGATTAAAAATATAATGTTTAGATTCTTTCTTCTAAATTATAAGACTAAAGTTATTAATTTAACCCTTTCCCTATCTCTCTCGTCCAAATCAAGAAGTGAATCTTTAGTCTCCTTTTTCCGTGATATTTCCAGGCTAGATGGTTCAAATGTAATGGAGGAAAAAGGTTCAAATATATTCATTTCTTGCAACGGAATTTTTTATTTCTTATTTTGCAAACTATATGACTGCACCAGACTAATTTTAATGTAATTAGAGATAATTTATTTCGAAATAGATGTCAGCACTATCAAAATATACGTAATAGTGATATTTATCTCGTACTCTTATCTATCATATTTATCTCTATGGGAACACCAAAAAGCTCGGTAATTTTTTATCAAAGCGCTTTGGTAATGATTTTGGTTAAATTAACCATTGAATACAATGTTGCAATGTGTGATAAAATGTAGCGAAATTTTTTAATTCATCACAATTTCTCAGAGCATAAAAACCACTTATTCGGTTAAATTTATTTTTCAATTTTGTTTTTTTTTACTAAATGTGTGGTAATAAGAACTATAATTTTGAAAATCAGAATTACCTTATGAACGGAAAAATCAAGAAATGGATGGTTTAAATATCGTATATTCTGGTTTCATTAACCAGAATCATATATTTTTTTAATTATTTATTTATTTATTTTTAACAAAAATCAAACTGGTAAAATTACCAGTTTTTCTCCTAACGGGCAAATTCTAATTACTTCAAAACAATTAACTATCTAATATTTACTTCATAAATGTTTTTTGATAAACTTCTTTGCGGATTAATTTTTTTTCCGTTGAATGAGACATTTTCAATAGAAATTAAATGCTTTCGTATCGCTGATTCCAAATCTGCAATCAGTTTCCTTTTCCAAGTTGAAATCGTTTAGTGACAATTTCAGTCTATTTTTACAAGTTTAAAAACGCTATATGCAACAAGGGGTTGTGTAAATGTAGCAACAAAATTCTAGGTGAGTTAAGGCACATCATCAGAGATTAAAATTTAATAGATTCCCATGCTCATGCAAAATGTAGTCATGCCCCGCTAAGAGCTCTTTCTTATTATGAACTGTTTCTTCGTCTGCGCAAGAACAGGACATAATAAGCAAGCGGGCAAGGGTTCCTGTCAATTTTAATTCTGATGAGAAGCTCTAACTTTTCTGGAAGCTTGTCGCATCATTTACGCGATCTCCTGTTATATTTTTAAACTTGTATAAACTTTATTAAACACTTCCACAAAAAATAGAATAAAAATACCATTTAAAAAATATCTGTAGCTTTAGGAGCAAAACTTTTTTCAGGTTAGAAATCTTCATTTTCGAATCAGGCAAGATTAAATGCAATATAAATTTGTTCCCCAGTGCCATCTATTTAGATTTTTCTTTTCTTAATTTATAGTAGAATATATCATGGAGCTGAATAAAAGCAAGGAAACGGGCAAAAGTATGTCATAGATGCGGAATTTGATACTGTAGTGTCTACTCTTTGCAAATTGAATATTGTTGGGCTTTGCAAATTGAATATCGACGTGCTTTGCAAATTGAATATTGACGGGCTTTGCATATTGAATATCGACGGGCTTTGCGAATTGAATATCGACGGGCTTTGCAAATTGAATATCGACGGGCTTTGCATATTGAACATCGACGCAAAATACGCGCTATCTAACATCATCTGTAGTTTTTCGACTAATATGCTTAAAATACCTGTATTTCGCTGTGTTAAACCTCCCTATTAGTTTATGATATGGAAGTTTCGCATACAATAAAATATTGAATACATTATATTACACTAATGAGCATTTATACGCAATAAAAGATATTAAATACGTATAGAATTTAATAACATTAATTGCATAATTTTCAAATATAGTAATTGAATTGAATATTTTTCCAATTTGAATTGAAAAAATTATATATAATTGTGTTTCTATAACATTTCTTTCAAATTCGACTTACTAACTGTTGTTTCTTTTCTCCTAGATTCGTGGTGCACAGATAATATCTGTGGCACAAAAAAAGAAGCAAAATGCGACTTTTCTGTGGACTTTGGTGCAGGCTACTGCAAGTGCGAAAACGAAACTCTAAGATTTAATTATGCAAGTCAAGTCTGTGAAGGTATAACGTGTATTTGTATAAATTAAATAATTGACAAATTATCTTTCTCATTTGAATTTTATATCAATTCTAGCAGGCTCCGCTTCTGATTCTCGTTATGATTGCTTCGTAATTTTTTTTGATTCTGCTTAAACAGATTATTACATCAAGATTAAAAAATTTTCTATGAAATTATTATTCAATTATTCTACTAACAAACTTGCCAATTTTTTAAACTCGAAGCGAGTTAGTTAGTTCTTTAGTATAATTTATTTAATACTTTTGTGAATACCAGTTCTGCTTCTAATGATTATTTTAACATGTAATTCTTTATTTTTAGAAAAACCTGTATGTTCCTACATGACTTGCCAGGAAAATGAAGTATGCGATCCTAATGAGAAAAAATGTGTATGCAAAAAAGGATACGAAATCGACGGCGAATCTAAAAAATGCAAATGTAATTAATATACTTGCTTATTCAGAATGAATATTTAAAATGAAATGTGTTATTTATTGCATCATCTGGTAAGCCTTTAAAGTAAAATGAGGATCCTTATAGATTATTGTGTATTGAAAAAAAAGGCTGTATTTGTACTGCCTTCTAATTAAAAATACTGTCTTAATGATTTGTACGGAAGTAAACGGCATTACTATCAAAATTGTGCAGAATGCGAATACAAAAATTCTTTGACTTTTGCATAACCTGCTAGTCAAGAGACCCCCAACATCTTTGCAACTAAAATAACGGTATAAGAAATAGAGTATCCTCGATATATGAAGTTTTGTGGTAACTACGCTAGCGTAGAGCTTACATGCGTAAACGTGCAAAATTCTACGTGAGAATGCAAAATGTTTTTATTGGAATGTTCCTGGAACTAGTGATAACTCCAAATTACCGGTTTTTCTTCGTTAAGGGTATGGGAGCCTTGAAAAATCATTTCAAGATCGTGCATGATTTATAAATATCTACATTGAGCCATCACCTCCTACATCAAGAAGCCTCCACACTGTCTTTTATAAGTAGTCCGCGCAGACTAAAGTGAACCAGTTGAGCGCATGAACCCAAAACCTTTTATAAAAGTAATTGAGAGAAATTCAGCATATATATTTGAGAATTGAATCTGTAGTGGTTGACAAGTGAATAAGGCAAACCAATAATATTCATAAATAAAACAAATTTTTAGTAATATATTTGCTACCCTTTCTTATTTTAACTAGATTTTGTATTAAGTGACTCGTTCGGAAAGTGGATATCCTTCACAGTGGTCTGATCGGACTACAGATAAAAAACCGTGTGGAGGCTCTCAGTATTTTGCAAAAGAGAATAGAAAAATAATTTCAGTTGCTACAATAGGCATATCAACGACATAATTCCGACATAACGTTCGCATTTTTTTAGACGCAAAAGTTAATAGCGTGAAAAAGTATGTAGTTAAGAGAGCTTAAAAATTCGTTTAATTAGTGCACAATACTATTGAGTTTAATACTGGTGTAAAAAAAGAACAATAATATACGGGGGTGTTAAGTTGTTTTGCGAGATAAAATGTTGTAAGTGTAATTATAGAAATCGTAACTTGTTCGAAAATCAAAAAAATTAGAATAAAATTGTCATTGCTTTGTTTCGAGAATTTTAATGTATTCCCGGAATAAAATAATATTTAACGCATTTTATCTATCTCTGACGGGCAAAAGACATTTTTTTGTACCTAACACGCTATCCGCTGTCGTTGCTCTTGCGCTTTGTAGTCAAGTAAAAAAAAGCTATTTAAAAAAAAGTGGTAGGATATTAGGCACTGAAAGCTAATTTGATAATTTCTAATGATACTATAATTTAAGTTTCAAAAAATATTAAAAAGACTTATTTTCAGATTAAAATATAACTATTTATTATATTAATATACATTGATGAACATCAATGTTTTATTTTTTTGCAAAGATAAATTTTAAAAAGGAAATCAAGGGTTTACCAGTCCTTTTTTAAAAAAAAAAATGTTCATTTTTTTGTTTAAATGGATTAAACGAGAATATTCAAGACGCATACCCTCCAACTTATGAGGATTTTGAAAATAATTCTTTCTAGTGGTAGCGAACCAAAGTAGAAATTTTTAAAGCAAATGGATCTTTCATAAAACTTTTATCAGAACTTAAGAATCTATCCATATGGCCTGCACTTTTATAAGTAATAGTGGACAAGTTACGCTAAAGTAATTTTTTTTTAAATATTAAGACATTAACATACCCTCCAACTTATGAGGATTTTGAAAATAATTCTTTCTAGTGGTAGCGAACCAAAGTAGAAATTTTTAAAGCAAATGGATCTCTCATAAAACTTTTAGCAGAACTTGAGAATCTAGCCATATGGCCTGCACTTTTATAAGTAATAGTGGACAAGTTACGCTAAAATTAACTTTTTTCCAGGCGCCCAGATAAATTTTGATGATGATGATGTTGAAACGAGAATATTGTACAACAGTAAAATTGGCGTTTTAGTTATATCAGTTAAGCAACGGCAACTTTTAGAAACTTTTTAAATAATTTTGAAACTATGTTAATAAATAATCTTGTTTCTTAAGCAGAGAGCAGCAAACCGAACGTTTCTAATGTTATTTTTTTGGGCGCGGATATTGCTTCAATAGTACGAAAGCACGCATAGACAGTTAGCATTAGGATTATGTAAAAACTGAAATAAAATTCTAAAATAATTTTTTCGGCATTAATTGGTGTACCCGGTCGATTTGCATCGTCTGTCTTCTTACCACCCCTGATATTTTGTCCTGCAGATAAAGTTGCATAATGTGGCACCAATATGTATCAAAGTTTAATACAATTTGCAATTTTTTGGTTGTTTTTATTTAATCAGAACCGTATGCCACAAGATAACATCTGCATTTTTTTTATAATAGGATGTTATCGTCAACTCGAAAAATTTTTGAAAACAATGGCCGTTTCTGGCATTAACCCACTATTTATCGAATTTATTATTGAAGGAACGGTATCATTGTTAATAAGGGTGACATTTTCACTTTAGAACAAAGTTGTTTTTATTCTATTTTAGACCACATAAAATTCTATAAAATTACAAAATTTTCAACACAATATAAATTTCAGGATTGCTATTTATATCAGATATTTGCCATAGATATCTATAGCAAATTCAGATATTTTGGTTTTTTTATTAACTTTAAAAAATTGTATAAACTTATTACCACTTTTCAGTTAATGGAACTATGAAAGTAGGGTTTAAAGGTAGCATCGAAGCCGTTTTTCGAAGGCTCTGTAGTCTTTTTTGGAAAATAATATCTTATTTTCGCTGTGAGTTTGTAAGAGTTACTCGTGACTGCTAGGTCATATTTAGCCTAGTCAGAGCCTTCTATGTTTATTATAAATATGGTAACAAAGCACCAATATGGTGAAAAGCCTCAGTCTTGAGAAACTAAAAAGTGTTTTTGATCTAATTTTATGTCTTAAAAACTTACTCCAATGCTACAATATTCTGGGCACATAAAAATTTGATTTGACACCAATTTTGATAATTTTATTCTGTGGGAAAGTGACGCCGAATTGGCGATTTTAAAGAGAATGTAGTAATTTTTACAGTATGAAAATTATTTGTTTTTTCTAAGGCCCATATAATTCTTCACGGCAAGATGGTATATATAGCTAAAGATTAGAGCTTTGCTTCAAGTGTAAGGCTGTAATTTTTTTGAAGCAAGTGCTTCGAAAATCCATAATAAAAAAAGTTAAAAAAATTAGTAAAAATTTTCTTTCTTCTTTTCAGCCAAACTCTGCGACAAGACTTGTTTCCCAGAAAGTAAATGTTCTGAGATTGGTAATGATGCCATTAAGTGTTCTTGCAATTCATCTCAGTACTATCTAAACAATGAATGCAAAGGTGATGTTGCCAATTTTATTTATTCAATCTTTATTTTATTTGTATTTTTATAATGATGTTCCTTAAATAACAATTTCGTGCAAAATGACATGTAGATGGCGATGTGGTCAGCATTGCGTAATCACCTCCTTTATTTCCCTAACTAGCTGGTACGCAATAATCTGAAGTTAGGTTAGCTTAATAATTCGACACCGGGGTTAGAATCTTAGTTTTTCAGAATGTCAGCTCAGTACCCAGAGTTATAGTGATTGTTTGTTTTATAGTGGTAGTTAATTTATCATAAAGTCAGTGGAAATTTGCCTGGTTCATCAACCACTTAACCGGTTAACGCCCAGCGTCATGTATTTAGGACAGTTCCTTTTTTCAAAGACATTCATTGTGGTGGGAAACTATTTTCATTTATCTGGGTGAATTAAAGGATTCTCAGATACCACAATGATTTAGTTATTTCTGATTAGATCTAGAATTCTAAGGAACAAGTACTTTTTGATCTATCAAAGACTTTTTGAAAGCCTTAACAGTAGAAAAATCAATTAATTTCGATAATATATTATACCACTTTTTCCATAGAACCACTTTTTGTATCATTTCAATTTATTAACTCGAGACAAAACGGGTTAAATGCTATAAATTTTCAACCCATTCTTTACGTAACTATTTACATGACTTTCACGTAACGAATTATTATGGTTAAAAGGAATGTTTATCTTAACATTTAATGAACGCGTGATACGTTTTATGACAAACATTTATGTACCACTATAATAATTTTGAAGGATCACTAGACGTCCTGATTATTTATAACAATTGTGATATCGTGACTTTGAGCACGAAAATAAAGCAAAAATAGTGGCTTTTAAAGTTATTGTGGTGATCAGAAATGCTTTATGATAACGTTTAATGAACATGTAATACACTTCAGGACAAAAATTATTGCACCACTACGCTAATTTTGAGGAGCAAGAAGACGAACTTAGTAACTATAACCACTGTGATATTGCGATTGTTTTTGTTACAAAAAATGAGTTCCGTTAAAGCAATTAATAGGTATTTGCATGAATTTGAAAAACATTATCAAGAAATGTTGTATAGATCGAAAATTTAACCTTTACAAGTACTCCTAACTTGTACTCCCAATGGGAGAGTACATGAAGGTACTTGAAGACGACTTAATTTGAAGTTTACTAAAAAAAAAAAAAGTTTTTTATTGATTTTTTTTTCGAAAAGCAAGTTTAAAATTCTTCGAGGAAATATTTTATTTTGATCTTTCATAACGACAACATTAATTCATTTTACCAAGTTTTTTAGATTTTTCAGATTTCAATTGGCACTAAGTGACAATTTCTGATTGTTATCGAAGTCTTTAACGCATTCACACCGGGGTGACCCACCGGTGGGTCACGCTAGATTGTCTCATCAGGCGGCGGATCAGAGTAAAAACTGGTAACAAGTAAATTTCATTTTTTAGTTTCTTTTCCGGGAATAATAAAAATCCATAACTACCAACTGTTTTTAACGGATGCAATTTTCATATTGAATTGCTTCTTCGTCGTGATAAATTTCCATACAGTGAATTGTTATTGTTGAGAAAAGATTAACTCCTCCCGAATATTATCTAATATTGAAAAAGTTCTTCTACCAGTATTTTCTCTTTTCCCGTACCAGTATCTTCACTTTTCCCGGCGTGAACGTGTTAAAAAAGAAGTTGCAATTCCCATTGTCTAGACATGAACCATAATTGCTGTTGTCAACCGTTGTTAAAAATCTAAAAAATCTTTACAATTAGATGTTTAAAAAAAGTTTTATAAGTTTTTGTCGTTGTTTATTATTTCCTTCCAGTAACATTAAAACATTTAAATATAGTTCTTTTTTCAAAATCAACATCAAAAGACAAAAGACAATTCTGTAATTTTTTGTTATGGAAATATTTGTTTGCTACTTTTCATTTAAAAATAGTTCTGCAATTTTCTGCTATATAATCTAACGCAATCTAAAAGGAACTGCTCAAATAATTTTATGTTTTCATTGTGTGACATAAAAAATAAATCACTAATATCGATAGCAAAGATCAAAACATTTAGCCGTAATTTTCAAACCATTTAGAAAAATAAGTAAATGAGACAAGCACCGTTATGCACAAGTAAGTAGTTTGTATAGCTTATTTATACCACAAAAACGTAATATTCTTCTTTTTTTTTAAAAAAAAAGGAAGACTTTTTATTTAATATGTTTTCCTATTTTTCTTTTAGACGCAAGCTGTTTGTTTCAAAGTCTAAGAAGTAGCTGCCAACGAGAATGTCCTTACTCCAATATGATACGTGAAGGTGGAATCTGTAGTAAGTATATATATATATATATATGCTTTATTTTTAAAACAGACTAGTTTTGTTTTGAAATTTACATTTTTATTCTAACTCTATTTTTGTATAATATTTATACTTTATTCTTAAAACAGACAATTTCTTGATTCTTCTGATGATATTTGTTGCATACATAAAAGATACAAAAATCTAATTTACTATAAGATTTAAATAAACTGTTATTCTCTAAATATTTTAGTTTCAAAATAACTTGCAAATTTTTCGAAGAACATCAATATCGTTTTCAATAAATTTCCCTTAGGCTTAGCACATGCTCATCAATTTCAATCATGCATTTAGGCTTAAAACGTAACTATTCCCTCACCTTTGGGAAAAATTTCGATTTCCGTTTGCGGTTTAACACATTTTAGTTATCTTTCTTCAACAATGTAACTGGAATCTAAAAACAAAAACATAGTTTACCAAACTATCGCTGCCATTCCTTCTCGATGGTATTCAAACTCAGGCAAGCATATTTCTTTACCAGCACTTTTGACACTGCCTTTTGAAATATTTTCACCTAATTAGCCTCATTCATCATCAGGTGAGTAATTACCCGCTGAAGACCCCTCGACGACCTCGGGTAGATTCCTCTCTACATCGTCGGATGGGGCAATCGGGTATCCTGGTGCAGAGGGAGGAGTCTTGAATGCAAATGGTGCGATATTTCTGCAATTGAGGCAGACTTTGTGATGACGAGCTTCCTTCTGAAAAAAAGTATTTTCAATGCATTGCAGTACAGCTCTGCATCAGTATGATTTCGAATCTGATTAGATCCTATGTTGTAAAGTAGGGACGCTAATGACGTATTGCGTTAAAATTCTGAATTCCAAATAGGATCACTGATTTTGAGAACACTTCGTAATTATAAATATTGTTGGGAAAGCTTCTTTGCTTAAAGTTTTAACTTTGAATCGAATGCTATACATATGAATCATGCTGTAATGAAAGTTATAAGCTCAATAAATGCCCAAAAACTTGTATTATAATCTGTTAGATGTATTGACAGAATCGTCACTGATATTTGAAAAAAATATGATATTTTTATTGACAGTCTATTTTTATATTTTTTATTCGATTTTTGTTTCATACTGTTAGCCAAACTAGGACATTAATTTGGTGGAAAGTATAATAATCGTGAACTTTTTCTTTAAAATAGAGCATAAAACATAGCAAAAAATAATTGTTGATGCTGCACTTTATAAGATAATGGTGAATTATAAGTTTTANAGGGACAGTGAATTATCATATTTCGTGAGAATCACCCATATATATATTAGAGGGTGATATCCTTTTCTTTCACTCTCTATATTTTTTAAAGTTTGAAACAGTGTTTTAAAAGTATAGTTTTTTTTCTAATTTATCCACTTTTACCATAGGGAAGCACAGTGCACAAGATAATAAATGGACTACTCTGAATAACTTTTGGTTTAATGATTGGATCTCAGCTTTCTAGGACTCAATCTTAATAGTTTGAGAGAGTGACCTAATGAATTAGTGCAGCCGATAATTAATTTAAGTTATGAAATCGGACACAGAAACGTACTTTCTCTGACTAACATATCTTTTTTTTCGACGGATTTGGATTTCTGATTTCCAATTTCTAAAATATATGGGAATTTGGGAAATATGGTCTTAATAGTTTGGTCAGAAGAGTAGTCGAATCCCTAAATGATAATTTTATTTTTTGAGTATTTCGCCATATCTCGGTAACTTCTCAAGTGAATTGAGACATTTTTGCACAGAATTATAAAAACATTATTTGAGTCCATTTTTTTTCTCTGCCCACTGTACAGAGCACAAAATAAAAAACTGACCACCCCAAAAAACTTTAGTTCCAATGAACGGATATTCACGTTCTAGGACTCAATTTTAATGATTGGAAGAGGTGATATGCTAATTAATTAGTGCAGACGATAGTTTAAATTATGAAATAAGACGCAAAAACGTATTTTCTTTGTGTAAACATTCAATTTTCCTGACGGATTCGGATTTAAAAATCCTTCAATAAAGTGAGTAGCCTCAATCTGGGAAGAGCGGTCCAAAGTTTGAACCCTTTAATGTTAATTTTACTAATGTCTCGAAAAGGACAAACTATTCACTCACAAGGGAGAAATATCAAATTTATGAAATATTTAATGTTGAAAAATGCACATAAGGATTGCGAAATAAATATTTTTGTCATACGATCACCATATAGCAACCTTGTTCAGTATTGTTCAAATCCTTCTCCCAAAAAGAGCGATTCCCGCAGTGGACTGATCGTTAAGACACGGTTCCCAGCAGATCACCGAAGTCAAGCATCACTGGCTACGGTCAGTGTGCGGGTGGGTGATCACTTGGATTAGTCTGCATAGGGACCGAGGGTGTGCGGTATTGGTCCTCGTTAAACTGTGCTACCGTAAAGTACTCGACTTCGCGCGCAGGTCGTCGGGATACCGAAGCAGGGGTGCCATCCCCTCCGTAGAGGATCAAAATTGTGATGGCTCGTCTTCGGATCATCCTCCGGGATGTTTCCCAGACCGTCGCCAATGGCCCATTGTGCAGCTCTAGTGCGACGTAAATTAACAACAACAACAACAGCAACAAAAAGAGCGAAATAGTATCGTCGGATACCACTTTATGAAGGCGGAGCCAAGTGTCAACTCCTGGTGAACGAATTATACTCTCTCAGAGATTCTTCGATCAGTCTGGCTGCCAAAACTATATTGCAAAACTTTTATACATCACTGCTAGCAATGAAATTTCTCTATAGCGTTACTAAAGATAGAATTATAATTTTTTTTACATGAATAGGGTCAAATGATAGTATAGTTCCATTCAGTAGATATGATTTCAATTTTACATACATCTGTTTGGAAACTAAGAATTGCTTGCTCGCTTTGAATTTGTCAGGAAGGACTGCCAATTTATATTTCAGCAATCTGGATTAAAGCAAGCTGGATTTATCTTGCTCGAGTTGGAATACTCATGACTCAAAGAAGCATACAACTGCAGATCAAAATTTGTTCGACGTACCTAGCCCAGGTGGGGGGGGGGGATGTAACCTGCCTCTTCATCTAAATTCAAAAATAATATAAAGGGTAGAAAGTAGGGATGATGGATAGCGAATAGCTATGTCTAAATGCATGCGTTGGAAGATCAACCCGAGTGTCTAATTTTCGATTCTTAATTTAATAAGGAAGTATACAATTTTTAATAGTTTCTAAAAATGAAGAAAACTATGTTCGCGTGTGCATTCTTTGCTCCATAAACTCGCACATATCGTAGCTTTGAAGCTAAATCGTGGTAACTCAAAAAAGCAAGTTTCTCAGGAGAGCGATTTCTAACTTTTCAGGAACTTCCACCGCAGGTTGACGAGAAGCTATGGCAACTATTGCAAAATAGTTTACATTAAAAGAACCCTGTTTCTTTACATTTTTCAATGAACCAGGCTTGATACTTGTAGCATTTCTAATTTTGTGGTAATTTCGAAATAAGTTAAGGTACTTTGAGTTGCAACACTTTTCTCTGAAACTTTTATTAAAAGTGGAGAGTTATTTCAAAATACAACAATGTTCTTCAAAATATCCTCCCGAATATTACATATTTCATTTCAAATTTTGACATATAACAGTGTGGGAAAAAAATCGCTCTCCTGATAACAGTGTAAGAAAAAAAATCGCTCTCTTTTTTGAGTTACCACGGTTTAGTTTCAAAGCGACGTTATGTCCTCCAAGGTTTTGTTGCAACTGGCACACTGCTACACTATTCCCTAAAACCAAGATGGCGAATCGCGCCAATGCGATAATCTGCTCTCTAAATTAATTTTATGGAACTATGAAGATAACACGTTGTTTCTCTAAAAGGGTAATTTTTTTTACACAAAAGGACCCAAATATTTCATTTTTCGATTTTTTTGAGTTACAACGGTTTAGTTTCAAAGCAACAATATATCATTCGCGTCAATAATGGAACTTAGTGACGCTTAATGACCTTCTTGGGTTGAGTAGTATCCGTTTTGTTTCGTGAACTAAGTTAACATTTTTTAAAATAAATAACTGTAACAAGTCTTTCATTTACATAGAACCAGTAAAATCAGATGAAGCAAAGACAATTATTCCCTGCGGATTGTCATGTGGACCATATGGCTATTGCTTTAAAGAAGATAAAGAAGGCGCAGAAGAAAGATGCGTCTGCGAACCTGAAGCTGAACAAAAGGATGACAAAAGTAAGGAAAAATATCTTTTTTAATAATAATAAAAACTTTTAAGAGTGATTCTATGGTCGCATGTGTTAAATTTTATTTGCTTTTGTCACTTTTATACTATCTTAATTCTTGCCTTTTAATTCATAAATTTTTTTCTTCTTCGAGATTTTAAATTGGAAAATTTTACTTCTTTAATTCTAGAGATTCAATAATAAAAGGATCTATTTCCCCCCTGATTCTGAAAGTCCTCGATCTGATTTTCTCCTGCTTGTGATACTTGTTTTGTAAAAAATTGAAAATACACTATTTATGATTTCGCAGCATTGTTTTTTTCTGTGAAAACATAGAAATAATAATATTTTCAAAACGTAAAATTATTTATACAAAAAAAAAAATTAAAATATAAATTCTTAAAGTTTTGTAAGATGGTTTCGGAAGTTAATTTTGCTTCGGAAGTTAATTTTGTAAGCAATAGAACATGTTTCAAATGGGTCTAATTTGGTATCAAGAAAAGCACGATTGATAAACATATATTATGAGATGGAATTCTTATTCACCATTAGACAATCGGTAAGGATAGACGACAAAAAGAGTGACAGCAGCCACAAAATGTAAGGTAGGGACTTATTTTGGACATGTTTGTAATTATTTCTAATTAATTAAATATTTATAATTAATTATATATTTAAGATTAATTATTTACTTTTAAGTAATAAATATGATTATACCTGAAGTGAAGTAAAATTGAAATACTTTCGGACCGTTAAGTGGTAAGTTCCTAGTATCTTAATTTTAGTCGTGTCCACATAAAGTTTATCTCATACGATTTTCAACTTTTTCATACCTAAAATGGAGACAAAGGAGCATCAATTTTTCTAATACATTTTACTTTATTTCTGTCTTTCAGGTGCTTGTGAACTGAAAGAATCTGTGTGTCCAAGTAATATAAAATTGACTCAAGATAAGACTAAATGCAGTTGTACTGGAAAATACAAGGAATCCGCGAACAAGATTACATGTGAATGTAAGTTTTTAACTTTCGTTTTATTCTCTGGAGAATTATAAAAAAAATTGCTTCGTTAAGTGCTTTGTTCATTTTTTTAAAAGTTGAATTGATGCTTCGTATAAATATGAAATGCAAGTGCAACCAACGTTATAAAATACAAAAAAGATAATGATCATTTGCTAATATTATTTTCTGTTCCTTATTTTTTCGATCATCTTGTGAAATAAATGCAATTATTATTAAAGATAAGTTTACTCAACTTTTGGGGAGAAGTGCGAACAATGGAACCATTGAATTGATTCATTAAAAAGAACAAAATGAATATCTCGTTGCATAAAATGATGTTTTGGGGAATAATCCAGTTAAAAAAGCAACATAAAAATGTATTTTGCGATTATAGTGCATTTGTAATCTAAATAAAATTTAAACTTCATCTCTAAGCTAATTAGAACTAATTCTGAAAACCAAACGCAATAAATGTTTTTTCGATGAATGTAACATAGTATAAATATAAACTAATTCAGCGCGAGCGTGTTAATCAAACCAAGAGTAAATTTCTGGATCCTTCAACTTTAGGAAAAGGAAAAGATTTGTTGGAATTTGTTGGACTGAGTAATTTATGCGAAAATAAGTGTAACTGATTCTAAAATCAAATAGATGCTATATATTAATCAAATATGGTATGAAGGTATATATGAGAAATATGAATCAAAATATGTTAATATTTCCAAAATACTATTAGCTCATTCACTTTATTTTTAAGAGTTTACACAATTCATGTGTTCCCTGAATCAGTTTAAATTAATTCGAATGAAATTGGCTCTGGGAGACAAGTTATACGTTTCATATATTGCAAAAAATAAATAAATTAATATAATCCAATGCCAGCTATTATTTTTTTTTAAAAATGACCTTTTAACCCTTTGCACTCGAAGTTCTTTCAGCTGTTAAATGGACACAACCACTAACATTTTTTATAAACTTACCTTATAATACCGGGAGATCACTGAATGTCCTAGTCCTAGTGTTTTGATTTTATTGGGCACCTATCCCATTCATCTAGAATTTTAACACTGTTTTGGTTGAGCATTGAGGTAAGCAGGAGGTGGAGTTGCTTTTATGAATGTTTCAAGCACTTTGCTTGAATAACTAAAAAGGAATCAAAAAATAAAATGAGTATCTTGCTCTATAGTTGTGTTTGTTTGATTTTGGAGTTGCTCAGAATTGTATCAGCATGAGGAAACGTTATTAAGAAAGGTTGATGAAATTATTTGTTTTGATAGTTATGATATGAGGAGTCGGCGGTGAAATGTGCAGCTATTGGTCTGTAGTTGTTATCTTTGATATAATTTTCAAATTTAAAGATTTCATTGAAATTTGCTGTTTTACATTCTATGGCTTTATCGAAAAAATCTGCGTTTAGCTTGTATATATGCTGTGATAGAGTTGGTATTTTGAGGTCTGAATGTATATTGGTATTCCGGATGAACCATCTTGCACAGGTTATTTTTCTAAGAATCTTGTTTTGGCATTGGTTTAATTTCTTCAGTAGATGTAGAGGTATCGTTGTCCAGGCGGGTGAGGCATAGGTAAGTATTGGACGGATCATTGCTGAGATCACTGAATGATGTAGTAACTAAACATTAAGATGAAAATAATTTCACATTTAGAGGGGTGGTTAATTTACAACCTCTCGAGTGCAAATGGTTAATATCAACGATGTATGAAAATAACTATTCAACAATACCTAAACAGACCTGCCAACTTTTAATCCCTTCCATTATCATTTTTCCCAGTGGTATTAAAATGGAATTGAAACTTCAATTTTATGCAAACAAATACGTTGTCTTTGAAAAAAATTAAGTTGACAACCACTTTTACTTACTTACTTTATTTAAAAACAGCTGGGCACCTGGGCCGCGTAGCGGCCCCTACTCCATTCATCATGAAACTACAAAAATGAGTTAAAAACATTTTGAATATAAGCAGTCGTTGTGGTAGCTTTACAATAATATTACCATGATTAGAGAAAATACAAACTTGAACAGAGATATTTACAGTAATTGCCATGAAAAAATGTACAGAAAATATAACCTTGATTAGAAAACATTACAACTTGAACATTAACAATTGATATTTACATTACAACTTGATATTTACATTAATTGCCATAAATATGTACAGAAAATTGAATATGAGCATGAATAAATGATGATTATATGTATACAAAAGTCGTGATTCATAGGCGTGAAGGGTTTACATAAATTTTGTCAAGCCTTAGTGGCGCCATCTAGTATGATCAACTTCAATTTGAAAGGGCAGTATGCAGTATTTATTTTAATAATGTGTATGGAAAATTAGAGTTCTGAATAATAATAAGAGTTCAAATAGAAGTTCAAATCAAGTAAAAAAAAAGACATTACTGTGCAAGAGTGGCTTCCCCCATAATCCTCTGAAGCAGTTGAAGCACTTCTTGATTTTTTAAAAGTTCTTGCAATTCTTTAATTATTGTAACCAGCCTTTGAGCAAGTCCTGTTATTGTTGGTGGTATGGCACGTGTTCCCCTCCTGCGGGGACGGGCTCTGCACCCCGTGTAGTTGGCTGTATGAGAGTCTCCGCAGTTGCTGCACTTAGGTTGTGTATTTTTATCTTTTTGGCACTCGTATGATCGGTGTTTGGCGGCGCACTTTACACATCTTGATGGTGAATTACATGATCTTTGACTGTGGCCAAATTCTTGGCAGTTGTAACACTGGATTGGATTTTGCCCGCCTCGGAACCTTTCAATACTGACCGGGATACTTTGTATATTGGTGATAGAGAAAATTTGTCGATTAACATCTGTTTCTGTGAGAATTGTGAGAAAAAGTGGGAGGAGCCTGTAGGTCCCGCCCACTTTTCTCTTAAACTGAATTATCTTTTGCGTTATGATGTCTGACTTTGCCAGTTCCTGGGAGATATGATCAGTATAGAATCCAACTGGAAGACCACGAATAAGAACTTTTATATGCTTAATTGGTTGAACTTTTGCTGGAGTTGTGGGTGGATCTACAGTTGAACTGGAATCCTCCTTGGGTGGAGCTAAGTCAGTATCAGATATAGATTCAGATGGTTGTAAGGAGGTGGCGGTATCTATCGGTGAAAAATGTTTACTATTTGTGGTCATGATTAGATTTGCTTCAGCTTTTTTGACATTATTTTTCTTTTTCTTCTTCTTCAAAGGGGGTTCTGCAATATTTTTGGTTGAGCTTTCTGAATCTCTGGTTGACTCATTCCCCGTCTGCTCCAAAAGTTGGCCGCCTTCATAAGTTTCCATATCAATGACATCAATTGGTGTTGTCGGTATTTCGGGCCTATTTGGCACAGGCATGAGAGACTGCTCCAAATGATTTAGTTTCTCAAGTAGTTCTTTATTTTTCCTTTCATCTTCTTTAATTCTCCTTCCCATGTCTGCTAACTTTTCAGCCATTTTGGTTTCAAAATCCGAGCATTCCTCATCCGTCGTTGAACCACGTGCACGTCTTTCGGTCAGCCGCTTTCCGCCACGTCCGTGTTGGTGATACGTAGCCATTGTTGCGTGATTGCGAATATTAACTTCAGCAGTGATGTTAACGTAAATTGAAAGCTACTATATCGGGCAGAATCATTTAACTTAACTTGCATCTACTCATACTCTTAAGTTAATTCAGAATTTGAAAAACGTACATGATTGCAAGAGTATGAAATAGGTATTACTCACTCAAAAGACACCAATGATAATCCGAAAGTCGCAGTTTTTCAAACCAACATCTGGATCAAGAAAACGCCGGTCGGGATCGCATCCGATGATCTAAGCTTCCATAAGTCCAGGTGATAGTATCACATCATGACCGAAATTTTCAGTTGACAACCATGATAGTAACGCATATCTGCCAACTTTTACGCATTTGGCGTAAAATTTTATTCCTATCTTTAAAGTGGTAGCAAAATGTATGCTTTTTATATATTTCTTGCATTTATAAACTTAATTTATAATCTTTTTCACTACCACCAATTTTAAAAATATTAAGAATATATATAAATGTGTAATACTGAGTTAGAGTGCTTCGTAAACTTTATCAAAATACAGTGTATGTCTCTGCCTAAAATTGTAATTTAAATTCCATCTTACTACCACTGTGGAAAATGATCCTAGAAAGGGTTAAAAGTTGGCAGGTATGGTAACGCATATTAATATATAAGCTTAACTTTTGTAAGAATAGTGGTGATCAAAATCATTTAAAAATTAAATTTATAAAAGAAAAAATAGTATATATTTACTACCACTTTAAATATGAAAATAAAATCTCCGTTTAAATCCGGGAAAGTTGACACGTATGCCTAAAAATGTATATTAAAGAAAGAATCTAATGAAATAATCTTAAGATTGCAGTAATAAGTCTTAATTGGACAGATGGATAAAAAATACAGTGGCGTGTTAGAAGTAAAGTTCTTAAAAGATTTTAATGTACGCAGATTTGATGATGAATTTATGAGCGATTGTTTTAAAAACATTAGCAATTTGTAGAATAAAAAAATAGAGTTTCGTAGAAAAGGAGGCAACAAATAATATTCTTTTGAAATTGCCTCATAGAGCTTGGATAGCCTGGTTGGTAGGTCACTGGACCCATGTCCAAAGGGTTTTGGGTTCGATCCCAGCCGGCCGAAGACTCCCCGTGTAGTAAATGGTGACTGATACATGTTAAATCTGTCGAATCACGAAGTCCTCTATGTTCCCATAACAAATCATACCTTTTGGGGTACTGATCCAGGATTGTCCTTGTCTTCTGGATTCCTTGTCTTCTGGCAAAATTACAAGGCTATGAAGTTGAACATTAGTTGTCGTAAACCTAAAATTGCGTCGGCTGTTCAATGAATGTTATATATACATAAAAAAAAGAACTGTCTCTTAAGAAAATTTTAACTTTGATGCATTTTAAAGATTATATTTGATATAGTGATTAAAAAGAATTGAATTCGAAATACAGTTATTTAACTTTAAGTGAAAATAGAACGAAAATATTAGTATTTTATAGAAAAAATATCTATGCGTTTAAAAAAATGCTTTTTTTTTTAGTTCAAGTTGGATATTAGACAATAAAGGTATTCAGCGTTTCCAAACCACCTGAACTCATGGTTTAATCTATCCTTTTGTTATCAAGAAAGCTTATATCTGCGATTGCAAATCAAATATTTTTAAAAAATGAAAGTGTTTGGTTTTAGGTCTTTCTTTTATTTTCAGATATTATTAAAATATGAAGAGTAATATTATTTCCTTAATTTAGAATAAATAACTACTTTACTGAATTTTTTTTTTGTTTCACAACTTTTTACCAGTTTTGACCAATTCATAAAATAACTAGCTCATTAGAACTTGAAAACAATTTTTCAATCCAGTTATAGGTGAGTGTTCTGTTTAAATGGCGTAAACATAAAAGCAGAGCTAAAACCATAACCTTCCAATTCTCGTGATATATTTGAAGAAATAAGCTGATAAAATACGTTAGTGACCTTTGCAGGGACATTTATTAATCAGAAAATGCGGTTGCATCAGCAAGGGCATGATTATTGTAACGGAATAGGTTTTGTTTTCACTTTAAAATTGACATGGTTAATCATGCGTTATTTCAAATTATTATAAGCCCTGATTTCTAATAAATCTATAATAAAATAGTTCGAATACCACTTTTCTTCTTCTAACCCAGATTTAAATGTCACTTTCGTACATCATCTACTCAGCTTCTCATTTGCAATGTTTAGATTTTAGATAGGTGATAGTCAAAATATAGAAAAGTTAAGATTTTATAACTAAAACCAAAGCTATCCCGCAATTATGACTGTTGAATAGAAGGGGGGGGGGTATAGAAATTTGTAATCAATGGCCAAGAGGTAAGTATTGCTCACTGATTTTGGCAAGGAGGTCAGTGGTGCGCACTGATTGCTTTTTTTTCTTCAGACAAATTAGTATCTAAAATTGAAAGAGCCTTAAGCCAATACCAAGTATAAAAACCCAGTCCTTCACAAAGACCGCTCTTCCTTTGATCTGAATAAAATGTTTATTTTCTTTAAACTGTTCTTTTTTCTTCTTCTTTTCAGTAAAAACATGCTCTGACAAAGATGTCCAAGATGAGTGCAAAAAACAAAACGCAGTTTGTGAAATGGACTGGAAAAATGGAGGCGGTTATGACTGTAAATGCAAAGATGGATATTATCAGGACCCAAAAAGCAAAATATGCTTGTGTAAGTATAATTTTGAAATACAAAAATAAAATTAAGTATTTTAATGTTACCTAATGATACGACTTAAAAGTTATCTAAAAAAGCATTGAAATACAGAGTGGAAAATTTCCAACTTTTAAAGAAGACTTTGCGACATTGAAGTCCCTATTTCACATGTTAAACCTCCAAATAAGTTATCAAGTTATAAATTATCAAGTTGTAGAGAGTCACCGTAGAATGTACCCTGACAGACAGAAAAAAATCACAGAGTCTGGAACTATTTAAAAATAATAATGTTTTTCTGGAACAGAAAAAATCTCTCAAATAAACCCTAAGCCAAACTTAATGTCAATTATCAGTTAATTCATATATGCTTTAATGCATTACATAACTCAAATATTTTTTTTTGTCAAAATTCCCTCGAAGTAACAAACTCTGAGTCAATTAAGCTTCCTCTAAATATCGAAATTTTCATTTCAAATTTTATAATTCATCTCATTTTATTTTATTGCATTTTATTTCATTTTATTTTACTTTATAACCAGTGCTGAACAACTAATCCAATTCTGAGTTTACTACTATCAATATTCAACTCTGCAGTCTTATAATTTTGAACTCAAGATAGAAGAAAAGGAACTTCTGGACCAAATATTGGGGGAAATTCGCCCTTGCGCTACATGAAGAGTAAAACCTTGAAAACTTTCCTCGGTTGGCTCGACGACAGGAGAATTCTAACTCATCAGGCGTGTACCACAAAGCCTATTTTACAGCAGAACTTCACGTTTAATTTTTTTTATCAAAAAGAATAAATTAATAAGGAAATATATATAAAAATTTGAATTTTATTTTTCTAATGTAAATTTATACCACAAAATAAAAATGCAACAGAAAATTTTTTGCAATTAATGCTTTTGCATTTGAGAAATTGTTTTGAGTGTGCGGTAATCTTTAATATGTGCTATGTCTTTAATACATATTTCATTTTTCATTTCGATTAAGAAAATAAGTTTTAAAATTTTATTGCAGATAAAACTAATGTTTTAAACTTAAAAGTGGAATGCTCAAAAGACAATAAAGTTGCCTTTATGGATAAAAATGGTGAAATTGTTTGCATGTGCCCTCCTGGTATGAAATCAGCAAGCAGTAAGCCATGTACTGAAAAATATAATGGTATGATTTACTGAACATTATTTTAGCAGTAAAAAGAAATGCACTCGTCTTATTTACTCAATTTATTTCAGATAAAACCACATATTTGATTAAAAATTTACCCATTTCAAAGGCAAAATATGTTCATGGCTCAGTGGTCGATGTTTTTGCTTTAACCAAGGATGTCATTTCTGCAGTAAGTTTTATTTCGTTTTTCTATACTAATTTCGTTAGAAATATTTTAATAATTCCTCCTTCTATTTCCGATTTTAGTTGTTTTAAAATTGTGTAGTTTAAAATTCTCTTGTTTCGCCAAACAAAGTTGTGTTTAAAAGAATAGTATACTAGAATGCATTTTGTCTCAAATAAGGAATGTGGAATTTTGAATATTTTTAGAATTGTGATTCGGAACTTTGAATTAATTCTTTTAAGAACTTTTGCTGTGAATTGTAATTTACAAAGCTAGATCGTTTGATAGATTTCTGTCAGAAGTAGGTAGCTTTTACAGTTAATTAATCTATATAACATTGTTTTCCAAGTGATGTTTCATGTAATATCATAAATTTTGCATAATATGAATAATACAGACAGGTCATTTTCGAAAAAGCCCCCACGAACTGAAAAATCACAAGCTAAATCAAAAGTAGTAGTTGGTCAATGTTTTGAAGTACAAATATTTCATTTGCATTTCGAATTAGAATAAGTTAATGTCATATTATCTTAAATATTCCATAAGCAACTTACAACGCACAAAATGGTTTATTTTACAGTTCTATTCATAAAAAATACTTGCTTTCTCAATAAAACTCGAAACGCACAAAGATATAAAATGGTTAAACTTTAGTATATTATTGCTCAAAAATAAGTAAATATCAACTCAAAGCTGTTTTTGTTCCTTCTCCATAAAAAAGAACAAAAGAAAAACAGACTGTTACCATAGCAATTTAATTTTATGAACCAGATCAAAGCTAATGATTAAACAGATAATAACACTCAACAACACGAGAGATCAATTATGGGCGCGTTATCGAAAAAGTACATTGCCAGAAGTAAAGCCAATTTAGAAAATCTCACGTTATAATGTAAATAGTCTGGCTGAAGATTTAAGGCCAAAATGTTTAGTGGAAAATAAAGTAAACCAAATAACATATATGCTAATGCTTAACACTAGATTTACGGGAAGCGTCATTTTGACGCATTTCGAATTTTATGAGGAAAATTACAAAACCCGTTTACATTTTTATTTTATCTCTTGTAATGACTTTTATCCATTGACTGAGGTAAATACATTCCATAACAAAAAAAAAATCGACCCACCAAGAAGCAATCATCCGAGTGTTTTGAAATTTCGTATGCATGAATGTTTTGAAGAGATATGGCTGGAATGATGCCGACTGAGGACGTATAGTCTTTAGCGACGAATCCCACTTCCAACTGTGTCCTGACGATCATCGAAGACGTGTTTGGAGACGCACAGGGCAGAGGGGGGATCCTGCCTGCACTATTGCACACCACACCGGCCCTCAACAAGGCCTTATGGTCTGGGGTGCCATTTCCTTTGACAGCCGGACCCCTTTGGTCGTCATTAGAGGTACACTTACTGCACAGCGGTACGTCGACGACATCCTAAGACCTGTTTTGCTACCGTTCCTTTTGCAGCGCCCTGGGCTGGTTTTTCAGCAGGACAATGCCAGACCACATACGGCACGTGTTGCTATGAACTGTCTGCAAGCTTGTCAAACTCTTCCTTGGCCTGCCAGATCACCAGATCTCTCTCCCATCGAGCATGTCTGGGATATGATGGAAAGGCGATTGCATCTGGCAAGGAATGTTGATGACCTCGTTCGACAATTGGATCGAATTTGGCAGGAAATACCGCAAGAGACCATCCGGGAGCTTTATCGGTCTATGCCACGCCGTGTGGCAGCTTGTATCCAGGCTAGAGGCAGGTCAACACCTTATTGAACTTATTACTGTAACTCTGCAATAAATTATTCAATTGTTTTGAAATTTTAATCATTTACTATTCTGTACATTGTCTTCCTATCCACCAATTTTCGTTTCAATCAACTCCTTCCTGGTGCGTCGATTTGTTTGTTATAGAGTGTATATATTGAAGTCTATTTTCTTCAAAAGCGTTGAAATATTGAAATTCTCCTTATGGTATACCTATCTCTACGGATTTGCGTCAGTTTGACGCGATCGTAATTTAGACAAAATTTTCAGCAAACATGCAAACATCACATCAATAATAAATAGGAATGTACCGACAATACTTCGATCCGTTATCCGATATCGTCATCTCAAATTAAACAAGTGATAAACTGTTGCCGATAAGCAATAATAGAAAAAACAAACGCAGAATGTCAATTGATGTCAGATTTTGAAGGTTTCAGTTGCTTAGATCGAGTATTGAAAAATATAATACTAGAATATTTCACAAATATATAATTATATTGCTTTCTAACTGCAGAGATGCCAACTTGTACGGACACACCAAATTAATTTTTAAAAAAACGGTAAATAACTGCTAAGAGAGTTTTGCCAATATAAAGCGGTGAATTCTATAAGCCTACGAATTATTTAGAAATAGTGGTGGATAAAAATCTACTAAATTGAATTTATTAAATCAAGAATCACAATTGATAAACTACCACTATAAAATATATATTTGCTGTCCGGAGCAAGTTGGCATCTCTGTCTGTTATATGTATTCGTTCATGAGTCAAATTGACGCGTGTTCGTAAATAGGTATATAAGAAACATCTGTAAACCTAGTGTTAATGCGGTTGACGAAAGAAAGGTTAAAAATAGATTTTGATGCTCAGTTGTTGTGTCATTGAATAATAATTAGCTATATACTTCAATTAAAGAAAAGTTAGTCGTTACATTTTTTAAGGAAAAAATTTGCATTTACTCTTTATAAAATTGAATTGAATTTAACTAACTGATTTATTTATTTAAAGAGCTATTAGGAATGATTAAATTCAGGAAATGAAAGAAATTTAAAAGTTAGGAAATATGTATCGTAAAATGATGTCAAACATATTATTTTCTCTTATTAAGTAATTTTTTCACTGAATTTAGATCTTTGCTGCCTCTCAATGCGTTAGAAGTGACTGTACTCTGAATAGCAAAACTAGCTTACTCGAAAATAACTAAAGAAAACTTTTAAATTTTTATTTGCTACTTTTTATGAAACGATTTTACAATGATCGAACGATTTTTAATTTTATGACCCTATTACTTTTAAGATGCGTAAAAATAGATAATTTTAAATATGAAAAAAAAGTATTCAAACATATATGTAAAAAGTTCGGTGAATGGAGGAATACTTAGAAATAAATGTGACTTAAAACACGATTATATTCGCAAAACTATTCTAATGTTTCTAATAACATCTATGTAAATACCGTTTTTAATCAAATGAATAGAATTAGAAGAATATGTAGTAATATTTATTTATCGACAAAACAAATAGACAAATTCTTTCAAAATTTGATTTAAAAAGACAATGGATATCCAACTAAAGTAGTTAAATTCTATATAATTCTATAAAATCATTGAGTTAATAGTATATTATAGTAAGTAAATTTACAAAAAAACTTGTTCGTTAATTTATGTAAATTTTACCAAGTGAGAATCCATTTCGGGCAAATCCATATCTAAAATTATGTGCAAAACAGGCAATTCTTGTTTCATTCTCCTTTCTATTTTATTTTTTTCTTAAATAAAAGTTCATTTTCAGAATTTGTCAACTTCTTTAAATTATCCAGTATAATATTACCTTGCGCACATCCATTTTCGGGCCCATCCTTGGTAGCTAACAAATCAAACGCACTTCAGTGCTGCAGTAAGAACGCACTATAAAACAAAACCCTTCTATTCACGCTTTTACCTAAATTTGCGATTCTGTTTTCCTATTTTGTAATCTGGCAATCTTGTTACGAAAATATTTTCAATCATTCTTGAAAAATTTCCCGTTCATGTAAGTTCATTTGAATTCGCTACTCGGTTTAAGGATTTCGTTTTATGTTTTATTCTGTTTTTTTTTTCTTTATATTTTATTTTATTTTCTGTTTTAACGCGATATTTTCACTTAATGGGTTCTATTTTATTTGTTGTAAATGTTTTTTTTAGTGCTCCTCACACTATTGTATTGATATATTTTGCTTTTGCTATATTGATACAGTATTAGAAAGCACTCATTTTCGCGGATATAATTGTGTGAGCTGATGAAAGGATTATATCTTTCATTTTCCGGATTTTTATAAATTTTTTTCTCCCTTTTTTGGATTTTTAATATTATTATTTTTATTTATATATATCACTTATGGGCATCATAAACTCGGGTAATTCTTTATCTATTTTGCAACACTTAATTTATTATTCATTTTGTTAGGTTAGGTTAATAATTGTAGGTTAATATTTTTGTTAGGTTTGTTAGGTTAATAATTTAAGTAGTGTTGAAAAATTAGTTAAATGTTAATAATTTATTAAAATTTAAAATTCTAGTAAATTATTAA